GAAAGAGTGAGTCAAGTGAAGGGCCCTAAACACTAAACCATCGAAAAAGGGAAATAAAACAAGAAAACAAAACAAAAAACAAAAGAAAAAAAAGCAAAATATGCAAACATCTTACTCAAAACGGCGGTTTTCAAGGTTTTTTTCTCCTATATTTAGTACTTTTTTTCTTAAAAAGAGAATGGAAGGGAAAGGGGCCAGTTATCTTTCAATATGAGGTAACAGAAAATTAGCCACTAAGTAATTTCCTCCGATGTAGTTTACATTGCCTAGCCACAGTTATCAGTGTTCACTGCATTAATTTGAGTATATATTGTTTTACTGAAATCATATCAATATAAAGTTACTCTCATGACCCCAGTAAACGTCTTCCTGCTCTCTCCGTCCCTGTTTACCATTAGTATCATTTCACACTCATATGGAAGAGAACTGGCCTCTGAGGAAAGGGCAAATACTGGCTGGCCCCCTTTTTGTTGTTAAGACACCAAGTTAGAAATTGGACAGTGTTCTTTTAGTTAGTTCTGATAAGGCTTGGCAAGAGAAGTTGGAGCCTCAAACTGAAGCAAAGGAAAATCAAGACAGCAGAAGGGCAAAAATTTGGAGTGGGTTGGAATAAACTCAACAGAAAGGATAAAAATAAAGAAAAATACCTAAAGTAACAAAATATATATAGATATTTGAGTGGGGGGGATGTTATTTTTATATACATCAGTGCGGGGGAAGGGAGTGAAAAAACAGAGATACAAACACACGCATACACACACACACACACAAGACAGGAATCCAAATGTGAAATAAGTGAGGCAAGACACAAAAAAAGAAAACAAAAGAATAAATATAAAGAAGAAATTGAATTACTGAAGACATGCACCTCGATTTTACGGCCCTCTACCACGGTGCCGTGTAATTTCTCCCTGGCCCTGTCTGCATCAGCACTATTCTCGAAAGTTACGAACCCGAATCCCTGCATGCAGCGGGAGAAGGGGGGAAAACATGCACATCGTTATATATTGAAATACCAATATCTAGATAAATAGAGAAAAAAAATATCACAGTATGAAATTGACATCAGCACAACTTAGCAATACTCTCCTAGAGTCACATTTTTGGTTCATGCATGTTTCATGAAAGAAATTCAATTAAAAAAAAGAATTTGTAATCAGATTAAAAAATAATAAAACATAAAGCAATTGAGGCCAGACTAAAAGTAGTAAAAAGTTACTCGAGACAAATTTGCCTGATGGACAGAAATTTGTTAAACCCTGGATAGAAATCCTTTTTTCATACAGGGCCGTTCAATGCCTACTGTTGCAGCAGTGTCAACAGTCACCTTTCAATGGCAAGGATACAGACAGGTCTTTTGAACAAGCTGCCCCAAGAAAGGGGGTGTGGCACTCCAGAAATCCCGACATTCTAATCTTTGGCCAGGCAGCCCCATCCCCTTCAGCTCTGAGAAAATCACTCTTCTGGCCTCATTTTTTCATCACCTTTCACACAGCTAACAGCAGAGATCATACACAACTCTTGGTTTGCACAATGCCTTCCACAACAGGCCTCTCAGTTGAACATCAGGGCCTCTGTGCTCAATACGTACATCACTGCCAGTCTATAAATATGTTAGGACCTATGTAAAAATAGCACTGAAAGGGACAGCTTCCCTTTCTTAGGGGCTAGGCTATGACAGCTAAATCAATTACATCTGGAACTAAGAAAATGATGCATTCTAATGTGTGACTGTAAAAACCAGTTGTTGTTTGGGTTTTTGTTTTTTTTAGAGTGGCATCTTTCTTTAGAAAGCCCAGAGCTGTTTATATGACTAAGACTAGGAGTGGTCTCCCATTCAGGCACTGACCTGGTCTACCACCCCTTTGGTTCTACAAAACTTCAGCATCCTTCAGCTCAGGACCATTTGCTAGAATGCAGATGTTCGCCACAAATTGCTACGCAAAGATAATCATGACCATTTTACAGTTAGCTTTTAAAGGGACTTGATGAATATTTACTTCTTGCTCTTTGATGTAAAATATAACACCGGTTTATCCTTGTTCTTTGCTAGTACTATCACCTCAGAAGTGGAGGGGAAACAAAGCACATGTTCTGTATTATGGAAACTGCTAATATTAAACAGAAAGCCTTGCCTCCTAACAGAGCAATTCTACATTGAGTTATATTGTTCTAAGGTGATTGACTTTCAATGGGCTTAGAAGGGTGCTACTCTGCTTAGAACTGTACTGTATGATGCAATATGCTTGTTAATTCACAGAAAACTCAGCAATGCAGATATTCTCATAATGCAGTGGCGGTTAGAGAGCCATCTTCTTTTTCCACCAGGAAAAAAAGCAGCCTTTTAAAATATTCTTATATAGGTGTTAACAAAAACCTGCTAGGCTCAAACCTTTTGCTATCTGGATTTTGGACTTCATAGCTGGGCTTCCTGTCATAAGCTGCCCTGTAGAGCTCAATGGAGAGAGTATTCAAAGGAAGGGATAAAAAACTTTTCTAAATGTAGATGACAATTGAATTCTACACTCTCCAAAAAATCCTGTGTTCCAAGAATTTAAGTGTGTCTTTCTAAAAGGGCTTCTTTTGTCAGGCACGCAAGCCCAACTCCTTTCAATGGACCTTTCCCTCTAAAGCAGTCCAGCATTGCTTGTAGAAGTGCTTTTGAAGGCTTTGGGGGCTGAGAGTACAAGACCGTGCCTTATCCATACCCCCCCCCCCCCCCCCCCCCCCCACACCCGCGCACAGAACTACTGTCATTTTAAAAGCAGCGTTGCTCCTGGCAACTGATGCTTTCTCTTATGGTTCCCTTCACTGTTTCAAGTACAGCTCATTTCCAACAGACCTTCCCTCTGGAGCCTACTTTCGGGGAAAGCAGAATTGCTCCTTCTCCTCCAGTGCTTCCCACGCCACATTCTCTTCTACTGGATCAAGAAGATGATGATCTGGAAGTGCTAATTTCTGAGGAAGCTGCTTTTGCCACTGGACTGCTGGGGAAATGAGATTCTATCACAACTTAAGGGTCTAACCGGATCACCCTGTTCTAGATACACTTGTATATATTCTCATCACAATGAAGTAACTGCCCCCAAATACAATACCACATGAATTATAAGATACATAGCTGCAAAGTCTGAGATACTGTGGAAAAAGTTATGCCCTTCATTTGTTGCCACTGTTGACCTATGCATTTAACAAAATTAACAAAGCACATTACATCTCGTGTCATGAAGAGTGACTTCAAACTAGTGCAGGCTACGAAGATGTGTCTTCATGGATCATGACTCCAATGTCACCATGTATGGTACTTTCCTTTCCCTTTTAGAGATTTAACTTGCAATAAAGACTATAAGTTGTTTTAGCTTCTGTTCCAGTTGAACACATCTGTGATCTGTTCCAGTTGAAGACCTTGGCGATTTTTCCTTAAGCACTCCACACCTACAAATAATAACTAGTTATTTGGCCCTGATTGGCGGGCAGGTTGTTTAATATCAGAGACCTTTCACCAGAAGGGAACCAAGTCACCTTTCAAATCATGTGGGTCTGAAAGCATGAAACTTTGTGAGCTGGTATGTTTGTTTTCTCACTGTCACCATGCAGTGATGTGTTATATTTCTTCCAATGATCTTCAATAAATTTTGTCAAGCTTTATAAAAACTGAAGTGTGGTGCAGCATTGTTAATGGGTGCCTCCTTCCCCTCCCTTAGAGTTGAACCAGAGACTGAAGAGGTGAACCTTTAAACATCAGGGCATTTTGAGCCCTGCTAAAGTAAATAAGCTGCTCCTTGCCAACTTGAAGCCTGGAGCCCCTGTAGATTTTGGCAGAAGAACCAAGAGTGAAGCTCCTGGTTGATACACACCATTATAACCAAAAGTCCAATGAAGAAAAGAAATTCAGTGCAATTGTTCCATCTGGACAAGTCACCATCCCTCAACCTAGTCCCCCCCCCCCAGATGTGCTTGTATAACAGACACACTCTCCTGAGCTTCTTGAAACAGAGGCAGGATGCAAAGATGACAGATAAATAAATACATGACAGAGATGAGTGTGTACATTTACAAAATTAGTTCACTGCAATCGTTTTAAATTTTGTCTGCCCTTTAAAAAAAAAATCCCTGCAAACTCAAGAAAACATGGAGAACTTGCAAAAAGCAGCAAGAACTATACATAACATATACATGCCTCTGGCACTCCTAAATTACCCGTAGTTTCAGAGGGTAGCCGTGTTGGCTTGCAGTAGAACAGCTGGATTTGAGCCCAATAGCACCTTACAGACTAACAAGAATAAGCTTTTGAGAGTCGAAGCTCTCTTTGTCTCTAAGGTGCTACTGGACTCAAATCTAGCTGTTCTAAATTACCTCTATTATATTCAAGCAACGTTTGCCGTCCCTGAATTTGTATACTGCTGGAAAATTGACTTTATGAAAAGGGCCAGATCAAGAGAGGGAGAAGTGCTGGATCCAGAAATATATACGGCCTCTCTTTAAATTGGACTTGTTGCTGATTTTGAGATTAAACTGCCTATTCTTCCAACAACAGCCTTCAAGTGGAGAACACGAGCTGATCTGCCTATATAACCTGCTGGCTCTTAAAGGCACTTCTCCTATAATCGGAAACTGGATGGATGTGAGTGCAATCTGGCTGAGACATCTGTCACCCCACTGGTCACCAGAGAAGATTCGGCTGTAACTGGAAGCAATCTGCAGCCCAGTGGCACCCTTTTTTTCTTTCAGGAGCTGTTCAAGGGTCACCAAGAGACCAAATAACCATCACCCTTTTAGTCTGGCCTCAGATTCTGCAAATAAATAACAAGCAACAGGATGAGCAGTGTAAAAATAATAATTATACAGAGTTTATAAAATGTTTCCATCTCTGAAGAATGAGAAAGAAAATTTACCATGTAACTGTAAAGGGAGAAATCAAAAGCAGACGATTCTCCTGGGTGTGGCCAGAACACAGAAATTAAGAAAAAAATAATAATAAAAAAACCAAAAACCAAAGGAAACTAAAACGGAGCCCCTTGAAATCCATGCATTGTTAACCCTTGATCCCCCCCCCCCCCCGGGTTAAGTGTTTAGAACATTCACCTCAGAAGCAGCATCTTTATCTTATGGTGCTGGAAATGACTTTCCATAATTTCAGTTTTTAAAAATATATCTATATATACACACAGACACACTTTAAAGACTGAGTCAACATCCAGAAGCCTGCATTAATGATAAAAAAATCCCAGGGTTAGGGTTACCTGCTTCAAAAGCATATATGCATCTTTTGCCATTCTTCATACTACATTTGAGATGAGCGATAGGAACTGTTTCAACATTTGTGGGGAGGGGGGCATACTGTTATTAAAGTGAGCATTTAAAAGAAGTGGAATTCCCATTTAAGAGTATACTGCATGGATCAAAATCAAGGAGCAGTATTGTTGTTCTGCTTATATTCTGCCTTTCTTCCATAGAACTCAAGGCAGCATACATGGGATTTATCCAGGTATTGACCAGACTTTCTTCAAGGTTCCTTTGTCACGTTAAGAATGATGAAAAAGGTTATACATTGTAGTTTAAGAAAGATCATTTCACTCTGAAGGAAGATAACTCATGAAGAGCTCAAAACTGTATAAAGGTATTTTTGCTATTTGAAGTGAGTCCAGAGCTTTAAAATCTGTACCAGAGAAAGACAGGACTTTCTTTTAGAGTCATATTGAACAAGCTAGAATGCAATGTAAAAGAGGTGTGAATCAATGAGAAGCACTTTTGTTAGCAGAACAAAGAGAACAAATTTGTTGCATATTAAGAGTAGCATATATATTAATATGCCTATGGTGTACATGCTACACTGGCTGGCCATATCAGCCCATGACTATTCAGAGAAGTTCAAACCTGATTATAATCAAATTTGCCACATACCTTGCATATTTTTTTTTACACTTTTGGTTTGGTCCTATTTATACACAAAAGAACTCCATTGTGTGTAAAGATCTCACCCAAATCATGAATAGTACACAGTGTATGCTTCTTAGATGCGAAGACTGAATTCTGCATCTGTAATGCACACTTTCAGCAACATATAGCATAGGAAACAGATATGTCACAGGGAAAAGTCAGGCCGTTTACCCTATGTACAGCTGCTGTGGAGATGCAAGCCCTCATTGTGCAATGCCTACCTATATCTTGATTGGGCCAGGAAACAGAATATAATCGACATATTTCTTCCCTTTTGATCAAATACAGGTGAGCCATAGTAAGTGAATGCCCTGATCTAGATAGCCCAGTCTAGCCTAATCTCATCAGATCTTGGAAGCTAAACACGGTTGCCCTTGGTTAGTATTTGGATGGGAGATCATCAAGGAAGACCAAGATTGTGATGCAGAGGAAAGCAATGGCAACCAACCTCTGAACGTCTCTTGGCTTGAAAACCCCACAGGGTCACGATAAGTCAGCTGTGACTTGATGAGGAAAAAATAGTGAATGGGTGGTTCAAATAATTACTTCCTTGATTCAGGTAGGCCCACTGTGGCAAACTCTGAGTGCCCCTAATCTAAAGGAATTTGTATTAATCAAAACCTAGAGTAAATGGAAGACACTCAAGCTAGTTTCCATGAAAACCAAAATACTTCATTTTGGGGCAAATGAAGTAATTCCACAGGAAAAAGAACCTGGAAAACTCCTTTGCTTTCGTTAGGTGTTCAACCAGGAACATTACCAGCAGAAGACTAACAAGGACATATGAGAATCACCTAGTAAGAAAGCACTTTGGGCCAAACAGAAAAGAGACTGTATTAAATAGCTCCAAACTATAGTTCATTCTTAGTTTTCATCCAATTCGTCCAATACCCAATAGATTCTCCTCATCGTTTTTGAGGGAAATTACACACAATTTTTCTTTTTATGTTGTTGTGCTCTTATGAAGTATCAATATTTTAAAATGCTGCAAACATGCAAAAAAGCACACTGATCACTTATTTCTCCCTGTAGTTTGAGTTATCATCTCATCTCAGATGGAGCAATGGGTTAAGATGCAAAATCTTCAGGAACTCACAGATTTCCCAACACGGGAAAACAATTATGACAGAGGATCTTTGCAAGTTATGAAGGGATAAAGATCTGCTCAGTCCATAGGGCAGTTTCCCAAATACCCGGGGTGGGGGTGGGGTGGGAATCCAGGTCAATTTGTTTTTTTTATTTTACATGTTCACCTTTTAAACATTCATTTATCAAATACATATCCAAGAATACACCCTTTAGAAACCCAGGGAGGGAAGGGGTAATATTGAGAACACAGCACAAGGCAGGCAGCGGGAGCATCTGCTTTCCGATTCCCAAGAGAGAGGAGAAAAGAGGTTCCATATCGTTAGGTTAGAACAGAAACCACAAAGTAGGAGAAAGGCATTCAAGTTTTGGCATACTCTTTTGCAAAAGGGGGGGGGTGACAAGTGAGGGGGTCCCTGAAAAAGATTTGTGTTCCTTCACTGGGATGGTTAAGCTATAGTTTTACAAAGAACTGCAAATCCCAGATGCCCTGCTTAATATTCACTGACAAAACCCACAGAAATTTCTGGGAGTGTCTTGAGTTCCATTTATGCTATCTACCATCTTTGAAACAGCAAGCCTCAATTTTGAAGCTACTGATAAACTGCTGTGAATCTGACAGGTGAGAATCAGAAATTCTAGTGCTTGGTGAACAACTATATGGATTAAATATTTACTAAATGAAACCAGTAGGGTAGATGCCTATAAGACAGTTAACAGAAAACAGTTCTTGTTTTAACTGAAAACCAGAAGCCTTGAGCTTATTTAGCTGCAGGGTTAAGCATTTATAGTCAAAATTTTGCAATTTTATGTGTTTGTGTGTAAAATGTGTGAGGCAGATCGTGTGATGTGAAGGACCAAGAGTACATAATAGCAAAGACTCGAATAAAGTGTGTTATTGTTTCTGACAGGTCTGTTATTTTTGCATCCTTTTTGCAGACTCTAAAGAGAAGGGACTGCGTACATGTTTCCCCAAGACACATAAAGTGTTGGTCCATTAATACCAAACCTGGGTGCAGAAAAGTATTTAGTGGCTTGCTTCTGAGAAGCTGTAAATGAGAGACACTCAGGTTGAAGAGGGCAGCATAACTCAGAGGGCCTGCCTGTAGGACTCCGCTAAGGCTCTGCTACTCTCCCCAGTAGCCCTTTCACGTGACCTGCTGGCTTTCTCCCACACAGCACCTACAGCTGGCTGAAAGAGAGTAGTCCAGCACAGCGTCCCTCGTGTTCTCAAAGTGCAGCCCACTGCTATTCTGCTGCTCTCTATAAGCAGAGCCTTCTCAGTACAGGCAGAATTGTATATATTTCATATCACAATTTCATAAAGTAAATTAGAGTGACTCATTTGTCCCTAGAGGATGTAAAGAACAAAGCAAAGCAAAAACCCAAAAAACCAGAGCCGATTTCAGAATTTATTGGAGATATACAGAAGGTACGTTCGCACATGAAATGACCCCTTTTCTGGTTTTCAGGTAACACAGGCATAGGAATTTCAACATGCTAAATATGGACAGGAACTTAAACCTGAAGATAGAAATCCAGCAGGGGTTCTACTATGCAGGGATACGAACCTCAAGACAGTGACGAGAGGGGTTAAAAATAAAGTACTAGCCAGGTTGCACTTTTAAACTGTCATGTGATGGGGTGGGGGGGACAGATGTTCATTTTTAATTAAAAGTGGAAAACTTAGCATTGATTAAGTCAAGCATAGTATAGACATGCACTGTGCAAGCTTCCCCCACAGAGCTCTGCCAATGCACCTTGCTCCTGACCTGCAACACTCCCTGCTATTCCAGTGCTGGACCTACTGGGCAGAGAGAGAATCATATCAATTCTTCAGTGAAGGGACATCGATTTTGTGATGAGAACCAGTTAGGAAATATCACTCAAAATGACTGCACTTGTAACCCTAACGTCTGAAATCTTTTCTCCAGAGAATCTGATTGGCATTAACGCTCAACAAAACTATCTTTCTATCACATCATGAGCAGCTACACAAAGCTGTTCTAGAAATGTGGAAGGTTATACAGATTAGTTATGAAAGATCAATGTTTTGGCAATGCTGAAAGGTCCACTATACTATCAAAGGGGTGAACAACTATCTTTTACACAAGATATCCTGTGAAATCTCTTATATCCCACTTAATATATTTTTGAGGTTTGTTAATGGGGGGGAAAAACACTGCAAGAGTCATCTTTCCCCAAACACTACTCTCCAAAGTATGGAGGAAAAAAGCCCTAATGGCTTCAGTAAACCCCTTTGTTCTTAAATGATTCTGAACTTTTGGGATCCTGATCTTTCAAAGGGAAAATTATGGGAGTATTAGAGCAGACAGACAAATACGCTGCACTCAACACCTGTAATTATCAGGAAAGGCAACATGAACTCCTTAGATAACTTTGCCATATATGTTGCCTGATTCCAGTTCTTTCTGGAAAATATGTTCTCTGGACAGCAAGCTGCCTTGTCACATCAAATGGAAGGGGGAGGGGACTGAGAAACTGGGAAGAGAAATAAAAAGCTTACCTTAGAGCCACGTTCATTAAAGATTATCTCTACATCAAGAATTTTGCCAAATTGCTGTAAAGACAAAAAAGAAAAAAATCATCCCTAGTCTTTTCATTTGTACTTTTAAAATTTCTGATCCATTGGTTTAAACAACATATTTTTCACCTCTCAAAACCAGAGGTCTTCATTCCCACCCTCACAATCCAAAACATATTAATAAAGTAGCTAAGGTTCTCAAGCTGTAAAGGAAACCACCAATATTCTGAACAATGGATCTAGAATGTAGATCACAAAAATCCACCCAGCGGGGCCATGCACAGACAGCAGAACTGTTTCTGCAAAACTGATAGGCTCCCCACATTTGTGGGAAAATCTTAAATCATAAAATGGGGGGGGGGGAGAATTAAATTAAAATAAAACGTCAAGATCTCGGCAGCTGTTCTGGATTGCCTTTGCAACTCTGGTAACCCCAAACGGCTGCTGTGGCTTCACTTTTACACTGCAGGAGAGTTGAGGAAAGGAAGAGTGGGCAAGTAAGACAAGGAGGAAGGTGGGGGTTGGTGGGAAGATGGAAAGAAAAGGGGGAATGGGGACAGAAAGGAGGAAAGGAAGCTGGGACAGGAGGGGAAGTGGCAGATGGAGCCTCACTGTTTAGGAAGGGTACAGCCACATCCATTTAATATGCCTATGGCTGGATCAGCCATATTTTCAGACAACAGTACCTCCATCAAGTCAGGATTAAGCTTAAGTTTTTTCAACCCCCCTCCAACTATTGATGTCAGATAGTGGTCTAGAATTTACACCGCTTTTCCAGGATCTGATGGAGAAGAGACAGTGATACCTACATACTGATGGCCCAGACCTCACCCAATGGCTTCCTATGAACTGTAAATAGCTTGAGAAACAAGAATGGACTTGGTGGAACTCTATACAAGACCATGCAGCGGAACAGCAGCTCTCCAGTGCCAAATTTGAAATTTCCAAAAGCAACCACGGCAAACAACATGTCATGGACCTAATCAACTAAAGTGGTTCAGAAGGATACTATGGCCGAAGGTACTGAAAGTCTAAAGAAGTAACATGAGTGCCTTGTCCATCTCCTACTGAAAAGAATACATTACTAGGACCCAGGCAGTTCAGACTGCAGACAGACTGAATAGAAGAAGATATTACACAGAAATTTAGGAATTGTGCTGCCACTGCAGGTTCATGCATCTTGCCCCAAGAACACAGAATTAGTGATTAGCTGAATTGGTCATAGTTGGTGGGATCATTAGTCCCCTGCTCCCAGGAGTGGCTGCAAATATGGTCTTTAAGGCTGAGAACACCATCCCTCCCCTCAAAGGGTACTTATAACCTCTCTTACCCAACCACCCCCCTTCTTGACAGATTTAATTAGTTAGTAATGCCAAGGTTTTAGTGCACAAACAGTAGGCATGACTCCAAAGTTCTTGTCCACATTATTAGCCTGTACAAACTAAAAAGTATCCAACAAAAGAGAAGATATGGAAGTCCAAGGGACAGCCAGACATAAAGCTATAATAAAATCATTTATATAGATTCCAACAGATACCATCCTTAGTAGCAAATTACTGTGCCACTTGGTCACTGAGGGTTCCTTCTTCTGTGCACAAAGATGTAACAGGTGTAGTCATCACTCCGAAAAATTCTGCTGGGTGGCATAACTGCCAATGAAAGTAATGGTAAGAAAAAATGTGTTCTCTTTCATGCTATTCCCACCACGGTATAGCTCCTAAGTTTAGCAGCATCCCATGTTCATGAAGATTTGTTGCAAATCTTTTACTATTGCTATCTAGCTACTGTTCCTGCCATTTCATTGCTTTAGCTCCTTGGCTAATAAGGCTCTAACTAGCGGGAGAAGGTATTTAGGAGTGATCATGTCAACATCACAGGCTGCCAACTCACTCCAGAGATCAACAGGACCACCAACCATGCCAGCTAGAAAATCTCTGAGAACCATCAGTATTTCCCAAGGACCATTCTAATTGGCCCCTCACTCCTTCAGTCCTTGCAACTCTAAACTCTTATCAAGTCATGCTTTCTCGAGAAGGAACTATAGTGAATTCTTCACTATCAGAGCTTCCTGCCCAGAGCAGAAAACACATTCTGATTGGCCTGTCAGGTGTACTTTTGGCATGTTCTCACTGAGGAGTTGGATAGTAAGAATTCTTTTCCCTCTTACTTTCAAGTACAAACCTTCTACAATAAACTAAAATCCTTTCATTTCCTTGGAGTTGTACAATTTATCTAAAATACTGGTTAATTTATTTAGAAGACTTCTATGTCACCTCTCCAGACAGCTACAAAGTGACTCATAGGGTTAAAAATACAATAAAATCGTAACACCAACAGCATAAAATGAAGCTAAAGAAACAAACCATAAAACATCCACCCAGCAGCCTTTAATACTATTCATAATACAGTTCTCATACTAGAAGCAGACCATAAAAATAGATATAGATGGAACCTCACAGTTAACAGCCTGTCCCTGGCCCAAAGGACATCTGCTTAGCCTTGACCAGGGCCAGGGCTTTTTCTGCCCTGGCCCCAGCCTGGTGGAACATGGTCCTGCTGGAGATCATGGCCCTGTGGGACCTATTACAGTTCCTCAGAGCATCTAAAACTGAGCTGTTCCGCCAGGCCTTTGGGTGGGGCAGCAGGTGTCCAATTACTCCATCTATTGGCCTCCCTTGGTGAACTTTCCATCTTTGAAAAGTCCATCAAGTGAAGAACCACAGTCTGGTTTACGGCCTAGCAGCTCCAGTTCCCAAGATTACTATGCTAAACTGCAGTGCTATCTGTCATTACTTTACAGCTTGTTTTAACTGTTTTAACTATTTATTGTGAAATATCTATTGTGAAATGTTTTAATTCCTACTGTGGATTCGCTGTTGTTATCCGCTCTAAGCCTACTTCTGGCGAGGGCGGAATACAAGCCAAAATTAATTAATAAATAATAATTTAAAAATAAATGTTTTGGCCTGGCACCTAAAAGAAAACACACAAGGTAACAGGTGAGCCTCATGGGGATGAGCACTCCACAGGTGAGGTGCCACCACTGACAGGCAAACTACACGATACAGTTTCAGAGGCTAGCCGTGTTAGACTGCACAAGAACACAGTTGGATCTGAGTCCAGTAGCACCTCAAGAGGCCAACAAGATTTTCAAGGGCATAAGCTTTCAGAGTGAAAAGGGAGCTTTGACTCTCAAAAGCTTATACCCTAAAAATCTTGTTGGTCTCTAAGGTGCTAATAAAGTCAAAACTAACTGTTCTACATGTTACAGTGTATACAAGTCTACCATGGGGACTCCCAGCCATAAAGCAGCTGTCAGTTCGCAGTGGGAACTCGATGGAAAAGCGTGTACAAATCCTATTCAGATCAGGACCACAGTGCAGTGGGTAGGGTGTTATCTGCCCCAACTGGAGCTCCATGTCCAGCCTCTAAATGCATTTACATTTATTTATATCCTGCTTTTCTCCCCAGTTGGGACTGGAAGTGGCTTCCGAACATTGGTTTTCCCTCCTCCCTCACAATAGCCCAAGCTCTGAGCTTCCATTGTAGAAGTGGCAATTCAAACCCAGGTTGCCCAGGATCCTCGTTCGCCAGTATATCCAACTACACTACACTACACACTGGGTCTTACCAGTGGGGTAAATAATGCTCCTCCCAGCACTACTTTGGCTTGGAAAAATGACATGGGTGGGTGAGGCTGGAGCTCTTCCTCCCCTACTCCACAGTCCCAATCTGAATAGGGCACCCATGGCACTTGAGTGAATTTTCCACTGGGAAACTTACTAATGCACTCTGACTCAGTGATTTCATGTTGGATTGTCCCTTAATAGTAGTAGGCTATTTCTGGGTATCATTTTGGCTTAGTACAAACATCATTGATTGTCAGATTCTACCTTGCCACTCAATCAGTCCAACACATAATTAACGACCTGCAGCCTATCCTAGAGAATGACATTCCCTCACAAAGGTCTTGGGTGGCAGGCCTTTCCTTGCTTACAGACAGCCTCCTAACCTAAGACAATGTCTTACCTAGAACAATGAATTTCCTAACAGATGGACAAACTCAGGAACCAGACTCTGCAACAAACCTAGATGCCAGCTTTGCATATACACTCATACAACATGATCACAGTATCTAAGAACATCAATTGTATCAAATCTGGCTCATTTACTTTTTCATCTTTAAATGTTATACAAGCCATCAAGTGCCAACAATGCCCTTCTACTCTCTACACTGGACAAAGAGGCTAGACCATATGCAAAAGAATAAATGGACACAAAACTGACATCAAAAACTGTAATACTAAGACACCTGGAATTAAACATTTTAATCTCCCAGGACATGCTGTTGCTAATGTAAAATTAACTGTTCTAAAAAGAAATTCAAAGAAGAATTCAACAAGAAATTGTTGAATTAGAATTTATTAAGAAGTTCAACACTACAGCGCAACCCTCCTTCCAAGTTTAACAACTTCAGATTTCCACTCACTACAGTTGCTAATATCTTGCATACCTCTTCCCTTAAAAGATATTAATTAGTTCAGCTGTACCTCTGTAACTGTAACTGGATATCCAGTGGCACCTTTAAGACCAAGTCAACTTTGTTGGTCTTAAAGATGCCACTGTACTCAAACTTTGTTCTATTGCTTCACACCAACACGGCTACCCACCTGAATGTAACTGGATATGCTTATCCTGTTTCATCCTGCACTTTCCTAGATCAGATTTTATGTGACTCCTACTTTGCCTGTTTACCAACAATTGGGAATGGTTATCCACCATTCTGAGCAAATTCTCAGAGCCAGTGTGGTATAGTGGTTAAGAGCAGTGGGCTATAATCTGGAGAACAGGGTTTGATTCCCACTTCTCCATATGAAGCCTGCTGAGTGACTCTGGACCAATTACAGTTCCCTCAGAACTCTCTCAGCCCCACCTGCCTCACAAGGTGCCTGCTGTGAGGAGGGGAGGGAATATGACTGTAAGCTGCTTCGAGACTTCTTAAGGTAGAGAAAAGCAGGGTATTAAAAAATCAACTC